TTACGCACAACTGTCTACTATATTTTTTTTAGTAGGCATTGACTTGTTGGTTATCTTAGAGCTACGGGAAGCACTGGAGGTGGACCTTCAATCAGAATGGTGGAACGTAACCTCGATGTACCTCGCTCACGAGGACAGTTCCTTGCTCTCCTGGTCACCTTGTCAGAAGTGAGTCAATTTGCGTAACATATTTCATAATTAGTCAGTCTTCTGGTTAGGGAGACAAGCTCTTCGAGCCCCAAATTTCCCTCATATGAAAGTTTGTCTGCTTTCCAAAGTGGACTAGATTGCGTATTGGGAGAGCGTATTTTATACGCATTCTACAATCAGTATGAATTACATTTTCAGGCTCAGATATTCGTTGAATATTTGTAAAAGTAATGAAAATGTGAAAACTTACATAGATCAATATTAACGTATACAAATGGGGGTATAGTGAAGAAGAAGATCCCTGACCTTATAGTAAAGGATTATGTATAGGTAAGGCCTTATTATTTCGTTATGGGAAAATTGACCGACCTCATGGTTCAACAATGATACCAATGTAACCACTCAAGTAGTCGAGTTTGGCGCACATAATTTTTGATATACGTCTTCAGTTGCCTCTTTGGAACAGATTATCTTATGGCTAGTGTTGCAAGCAAAATGCCGCAATTTGCTGGTAATCACTTGCAAAGCAACTTTAAATACGGTTGTAATACTGATTAACGTGTAGTTTAATCTCGAGTCTTTTCGGTCACGTTAGGATGCCGGCTCTTTTTCTGACCGCTTATAAAATTTACATTCTGCAAAATATGGCTACATAAATAGTAGGCATTTTTATCATGGATTTTACTGCCTGTGTAAATTCAAATATATTTTATAGAAAACACGAACAAAAAATATTCTTTCTTGTACCCGTTTAGTAGCAAATGACGCCTTCTTTAACTGTTTTACTCAAAGAAAGGATACCTTTCGGTTTTAAAAAAGTTTCTAAATTGCCGAATAATCTTGAAATTTACCAACTGCTACACCTGAATTCAAGATTTTCCAACAGTATGCTGTGTACAATTTGTTTAGGAAAAAACCTTTTTGTCTACGGTTCGAGGGAGAGGTCGCATAGTCCTCGTAAAATTTTGCAATAGATTTGGATCATGCTGTATACATTATCGGCAGCATAAATAAATTTAAGGATACGTTTTATTATGAAGAAACACCTCACAATCCTCAAAAATCTCATAATTAGAATTTTTTAAAACCGAAGAATACCATTTCTTTAAGTATAGAATGTAATTTTCTACCAAATGAGTACAAGAAAGAATTTTTCGTATATATTATCCATAAAATATAGTTGAATTAATAAAGGCAGTCATATTAATTATAAATATGCATACTATTTAAGCTGCCACTTTTTACAGTACATATATTTTTTAGTGGTCATAAAGAAGCTCGTTACGAAGC